GCAGGGACAGCACGGCCAGCCGGGCAAGGGAGGGATTGTCCCGCTCTGCTCGGGGCTGGGGCGGCCTCACCTCCAGTGCAGGATATAAAAGCTACAAGAGAGTGAACAAAGGTGGTGAAGGACCTTGAGGGGAAGTCGTGTGAGGAGTGCTGAGGGCCATTGGTCTGTTCAGCCTGGAGGAGAACCAGGAGAGACCCCACTGCAGTTACAACTTCCTTGTGAAGGGAAGGGGAGGAGCAGGCGCTTCTTCTCTTCTGACACCACTTTTCTCTGTGTTGACAGTGACAGGATTCAGGGAATGGCCTGAAGTTGTGTCAGGGGTAATTTGGATATTAGGAAAAGGTTGATCTGAAACATCTCTAGGAAGTGGTTGCAGCACCAAGCCTGACAGAGTTCAAGAAATTCTTGGACATGTGGTATGAATCATGGGGATGGTCCTGGTAGAACATTCTATGATCTTTTTTTAATGTTGAATAGTTGCAGGCAGCTCTCATAATGATAATATAATTTAAACAGTAACATTTTAATTAGTCTGTAGCATCAGGTCATGCTAAATTGTGTACTGAGTAATGGTATCAACTCTTAAGTAGAAGTCCTTTGTTAAAGCTGTACATCCATTCATCTTTTCAGTGAGTTTTGAATTGAGCACAGCTCTGAAGTTCTTAATAATGTAGGGTGATTAATTCCACATTGTAATTGTGTTCAAAACTGTCTGACTGAAGGGAACAGTGATATCTTTAACTTTCTTCCACTTAATTGATCATGTATGTCTAATCACTGATAACTGCCCAGCATTACTTTGAAAAACATCTGCTCTTTAAACAGAGCCAGTAAATACTTCTAATGTTTTCTTTTTATAGTGTATTTGCAAAGAAACATTGCAATGGGACAAAAAGCATCACAGTTACTGATGGGTGCTAATCTGAACTAGGTTTACTGGTCAGGTATTCACTTAATATTTGGTAAATACAGTGATAGTTGTTACACATTCAACAAATGTGTAATGTTTCCATGGAAAACTGTTAGGAAAATAAAATTCCCTTTTATATTAACTTTTCAATTTCCATCTGAAAGACAAACTATAAAATAAGACCTGTATTAAGAATGAACTAATGGCCCCAAAGTTCCCTCCATTTTCAAATGCTGTTCCTAGACCTGATCTGTGTTTTGGCCAATGGGTACCTGAGACATTGTAATGCTCTACCTACTGTTCATGAAAAACTTACATGCTGTCAGTTAATCTGATTTAACAAGCTTGGTCGTTTTGGACTGGCTTAGAATGTTTTCTTTGTTCTGTTTTCTGGGGTTTTTGGTTTGATGTTTGCTTTCTGGGGTTTTTTTTTTTTTTGGGGATGTGGGTTTTTTGGTTGGGGGTTTTTTGTCGTGGTTGGTTGGTTTGAGGGCTTTTTTTTCAAATTAAACTTGTAATGGAAGCAGGACTAAAACTAGGAAGGGGTGAGTTGAAACACAGCCTTTACATTTAGTCTCTAATGATAAAACAGTCTTAGGCAAGTCTTGTTCCTTAAAAGAGAAAAGCACTTTGTTGAAGGAAAAGGCTTTTATTAACTGTCAGTGTAATTAGTAATGCAAGTAATATGTGATTATCATTCGCTTTTTTTGGCTTGCAAAAGCATTTCTATTAAGTGTTAAAATAGGCAAGTTGCTAAGTACATGTGGGGAAGATACTTGTCTCAGTCAAAAATTAGTAAGATTCCTATGTTTGAAATCCACTCACACTTTAAAAATAATTTTCAGTTGGCTTTGCTGATTTTGGAAAAGTTATCTTCTGAAACCTGAAAGGAATCTCAGAAGATTAGTATACCTCCTGTTTTATTTCCATTTGGCAAAGTATGAATTTCTTTCTTTAAAAAAAAATCTTTGCAAGTCAAGAACTTGAGAGTGGAGTAATGAGGAAGGAGCTAATTTCCTATTTTATGCTATAAATCAGTACCTTCAGCTTGGAGCTTTAGTTAGAGTCTATACAGCAGAAATAAACTGTTAAAAAGTACTATTATTTATTTATCTGACTTTAGGAGTAGCTTCAGAAGTTTTGTCCAGTAGGGTATTAGAATCACAGAGAGGCTGACAGAGGCACTTTGATCGTGGTTTTTGATACCACTTGTAGCTGCTTTTTATTCCTCAATAGGGGAAGTCAAGAAAGAGGGTAGAGACACAGTGATAATGTTTGTGGGACAGGACATTTTCTGGGACAAGAGAATGAACAGAACTATCTTGTGATGCTGATGAACAAAAAGGAAGGATGAGGAAACCTCAGCTGATAGACTTACTCAACTGTTCTGGAATGTCAGAGTGAAAGTAGAGTTCTGTTTGAAATCTTGTTGAATGAGAATCACTGTATGCACTTTTACAAATTATATTGTCAATTTTTAAAGTCAGATTTAATATTGCAAACCTGAGACTAACTGTGATGCTTAACATACAGTATTTTACATGAGCAGGAGAGCAAGACTACATAATCCTACCTCAGCTCAATAGTCACTCTGGTGTGACAGTTTTGCTGTTGCTCAGTACCACAGCAGCTGGGAAGTGCTGCTGCTCTGATGTGATGGAAGGTCTGGTCATTTGGACTACAAAGGGTTTGAACATGTTTGGGTACTGGCAGACCCTTTCTCTTAGAGCTTCTTGAACACCATCACGCTTACGAGGCACTGTCTTGTCTCTGTTTCTTTTAACCCAGAACTTGTCATAACAGGCCTTTTGACACATCAATTGTAAATCTGTATTTAATTAGCCAAAAAATAAACTATTCTGTAACTAGAATCAAGTCATCACACATAAAAAAGGAAAATTACCATTTTGCCTTTAGTTTCAGGTAGCTTATCTATCAACATCAGCTGTCCCAGAGAATAGCTACCTTGAATATGAGTATTGTAAAGAATAGAGTGAGAACAAAACTGTTCAGCTAGAAACTGCATAAATTACCTTTTTTATGACAGCATGAAAAGCTTCCTCAGGAGTTTGGTCTTTTGGTTGTCAGCTGGAAGCCGGTAAGCAGTTGATATTCTCAGCTGTGCCTTGCAGAAGTCACCACGGTGTGTCCCTGCTGTGTGTCAGGCTTCCCCTCTGACCACCAGCTTTCTGCTGAGTGGGGGCACTTTGGCTGCTGGGGTGAGGTTGGTGTCAGCCACAGGAACTGGTGGGACTTCTTTCCTCTTCATGGGCCTTCTAGGCATTTGGAAAAGTCAAACAGAAGCTCTGACAGAACATTTGGCAGCTTTATCATCACTCTGAGACTGTGAGGTATTACATATTCAGGGGGTCAAAGCATTCTGTGAATGTGATTCTTGTGGTATTCCAGGTATGTCTCCTAAGCTAAACAGGTATATTTCAGTCCTAAATATATTGGCTGTGCAGTCTTACTTAGTTAAAAGACTGGTTTTTGTAAGGGTTTGGTTTGGGGAAAGGTTGGGGTTGGGTTTTTTTCTTCTTCAGTAAATTAGGTGTGGAGTGGAAAACTGAAATCTTTCATGCAGTCTGAACTCTGAGTCTAAAAAATGATGAAGATGCTGTATGGCATTAAATACTTCAAAATATTGACATTAGGGCTAACACTGATTTTTGGCAATAGAGCAGGGAAGTAAAAGAGTAAATGAGGTGTTACTTCAGTAAAAAAAACAAGACTGATATAAGAGAAAGGCCAATGTTAATAAATGTATTCTAGGAACCAAATTTAAGTTATTATCTGTCAAATGTGCAAGATTTTAGACTGGAAAGGAGTGAGTAATGACCTGTCTGGTTCTAGGAACAGTGTAATGTATTTACATGCAGGATTGTATGACATGGTTGACTGCAGTAACACAGCTGGGCTCAGTGATCTGCAAAAGCTTTAAGCCAGTAGAATTAACAACAGGAAGAGCTGATTTATTTGGTGTCTCAATGGGGTTTTTTTAATATATCTGAATTCAGATGGTCCCTGATCAGTTATATACCAGAAAAATACATACATATATATATATATATATATATATATATAATATATATTTCAGATATTAAAGGATTATTCATACTTAGTGTAGAGCACTAAAAAAGAATTTTGCCTCGGAATGGACTGCAATTGTGTGATCATTCAGGTTTCTGACTATGGATCTACCATACTTCTCACATCAAACCAAGTACATAAAATTCTCAGGTATACATGAGATTAGCAGCTCACTGTTTGAGTTAGCCAGTTAGATAACTATTTGATCTAACTGGCATGTTAATCCTGATATTATGCTTACATAAACTCCTCCAAGTCTAATCAGCTGGCAATCCCTGAGATGTCACTGAGTAGAAGGCCTGTGTCCAAGTGCTGATAACCACATCCCTCCAAACTGCATTGCCTTCGAGGGAATCAGAAGTCTTTTTAATGCCTGTGTTCGTTTGCTTTATACATTTTGCTGGCAAATTCTTACCTGTTTAAGACTGTGGTGATGGATCTGCATAAGTCCACTTGTAACCACATCCTCCCACTTCTAATTAGCCAGTTGGATACCAGACACGCCTGGATAATGGAAAAGTGCTCGGTGGAGATTACAATACCACAGCTATTCATGTTCTCCAGGCTAAAAAACTTAGTGTTGAGGGAGAAGTCTGGTTTGGGAACAGAGTTACATCTTTTGCAACTACCTTCTTCTCTTTGTCAGATAGATATCAACGCCGCAGCGAACTGCTGCTGTAGCAATAAACGAGACGCGCTCTCCTTGCAACGAGTGTTTCAAGACCTGTCTTTAGGGCCGAGGTTCGCGGTTCGTTTCCGTACCGCGGCGCCGCGCTGGGTGCGGGCTCCAGCCCCGCCGCGCTCCCGGAGCCGCTCCGGGGCGGGTCGGGTCCGTCCTGGGCGCGGGCCGGGAGCGGCTCCATCCCCGCCGGAACAGGAAGGCGGCCGGGGCGCCGCGGAGGGCCGGGGAGGAGCCGCCGCCCGCAGCATCCCCGGGGAGCCTTTTGGCAGGCGGGGGCCGCCCGCACAGCCCGGAGCAGCGGTAGGTGCCCGGGGCGGATGGGCGGTGAGAGCGGCGGGGCAGGGCCGGGCCGGGCGCGGCTCCCCGGGCGTCCCGCGTTCTCTGCCCGATCTCTGCCGGGCCGCCCCTTCCCTGCCCTGGGGAGCTGCGGTGTCTCCGTGCCCGGCCGAGCGCCTGCCCTGACCTGAGCCGGGGCTGTGGGTCGGAGGCTGAGGAGCCCCCGGCGGGCTAAGCAGGTAAAGCCGGGCCCGGGAAATTTTACAAGGGGATAAGGTGAGGTAAGAAAACCGCCGAAGGATGAAATTCTGGCTGCTGGCAGATAACAAATCTCACTTCGGGCAGGGCCGGCTTTGGTGCTCATCCCTTCCTGGGAGCCACGGCACCAAGCCCCGGCCATGAGGACGGGGACAGAAGCGACGAGACACGGCGGGGAATGCCGAGGGAAGGGCTGGGGAGAGCCGGGCAGAGCCGGCGGCTGTGAGGGATTCACGTGTGCCTGGAACAGCTCCCCCGACCCAGAGCCCTCCCTCTCCCTGCGCGCCTCACACGAGGCAGATGTCGCCGTGGAGGTGAAGTGTTCTGTTTTTGCTGTCGGGATGCCAAGGGCCTGTAAAATGTTGTGTGGTTTCCTGCCTAGCAAAAAATTATGGCGAGGTTTGAGCAACAAAACCGATGGAGCACAAAGGCAGAAACGTGCAGTACCTTGGAATATTGCGTAAGGGAAATTGCAACCACGCAGCCAAAACTGGAGCAGAGGGAAAGGTCAGCACAAGCATCGATGGGTTCGAGCTGCACGCTGGCAGAAATATTTCTGAGGGAAAGGTGTGAAGGATGTTATCTTTGTAAATAACCCTGGAATAAAGTTCAGCTTGGTCATACAATTCAGTGGATGACTAAACAAATTGTGAGGAAAACCAAGATACAGTGTGCCTCAGTGAACCCATCCCTCAGCTGTTGGCTGGATAGACCTAGGGCCAGAGAGTATGTGCTTAAAGGAATGGTTATTTTGGCTCCATGTGCTCTTTTATCATTTGGGTAAGCAAATAATGCTAAATATTTGTAGCAGTGATGATTTGCCATTTTAAATAAAAGGATCTTGAACGTAAATCTGCTAAATCAGACGAGTTTGGTTAAGAGCGTTATGCCAAGAGTTTAGTAAATGGATTGCAGGTGGCCCCTGTTCCATGTTTATTTACCTCCTGGCAATTGAGCTTTAATACTGCTTCAGTGCCACTAAACTGACTTCATAGGTAACAAAATGTCACAATAATATTTATTGCTGAGCATGACAAAGTGTTATAGCCTTCAATTAGTGTAGTATGGTTTTCTATGTGCAAGTGCCTTGTGTATATAATATGGTATATCTGGTCTGGAAAAATTTATATTAAGAATTACTCACTGTTTTCAGTGCTGACTCATCGAAGTCAATGAATGTTTTTGTATTAATTGGCTTTGGATGAAATTCTGTCTCCTTTTTTACTCTTAGTCCAACAAACTTTCAGGGGCTTTTGCAGCAGAGGGGACTGTAAATTTGATTCTTTTATGACTCAGATATCGTGTATGTTTTATAATTTGAAGTTTGCAGTTCCATGGTTTACATATTACTCCTTGATTTTGATTTATGTTGCGAATTAGTTAATTTTTGGGATTGAGACCAACTCCTTTATTTGTTAAAGACTGAACTATATATGATCTGCATCCTTGTTTAGGGCTTTAAGATAGGTTTGGAGTATTATCAAAGACAGTTGATAATTCTGGTATTTCTGACAAAATAAAAATGCTGCCTTAATGATTTGATGCCCCAGGTCGGTAGCTATCATCTGGAGAAAAAATATGAAGTTTAAAAATTTTCTTCTGTTGTTGCTCTCTGGGGTTTATCTTGAAGACTGCATTCCTGCAATAGTTAGGAAGTCTGCCTCTTTTTTCTTTTTTTAATTGTTGTTTTGGTCATTTCTACTATACACTGAAGGCATAAATAAACTTACTTGGATGTAAACATTTGGAACAGGGTGCCCTTTCATTCCTATTTTACTGTAATGCTGAGTTGAAAACATGTAGAGAAGTCATATTAGTGTTGCTCATGTGTTGACAAACTTAAAATGCTCCCTAGTTTTGTTCCATTTGAGGTGCTCCTCTAATAGAGTTTGTTGTTTTTTTGCCTTTGTGACCTGTTCTTGATGGGAGAAAATTTGGTGCTGAGCTAATAACCAAGACTAGAGGGTTGAGGCTCTTGTTCCCTTGTTCCCAGGTAGCTTAATACAGCCAGAACTTATTTTTGTGAAGTCTGTAGAAAGTAGAAATGACTGTGCAAGATACTTTTATGAAAGGCCTGCAAAAAGCTTCCTGTTGACTGGATATAAATGCAAATTTTTTTAGAAGCAGAGCAGTGGAAACATGGCCCTGCAAGAGAGAGGAACGAGCAGCAGCCCCAGCAATGACAAGCAGGAACAGAACTATAATCGTGTGATTACAATTGTCTTCCTGGCCCTCTTCATTGACTTGTTGGGATTTGCCCTCATCTTGCCACTCTTTCCTTCCATCCTTGATTATTACAGCCAGACTGAGGTAAGTAACAAGAAAGTCAGCCCACAGAAAGTGTTAGGATCTTGAGGGAGGAATGGAAGAAAAATCACCTGCCGTGGGGCAAACCAAACAGCTGTAGGAAGATTAATAATTACCTGGCACATATAAATGGTGCATGGACTGAATTCATTAGTCAACCTGCATAAGACTCTTCACCCTTATTTTTTCATTAAAATATGAGATTTGTTTTGATAAAAATTCAAGTATTTCTTAGGAACTAGCCCTTGTGGTTACCAGTGCTTTTGTGTCTTACACTGATATCACTGGTGAGGCAGTTCATAATGGATCTGCATGCTGGGGTTTACTGGAGAACCAAAGAGAGGAGAGCTTTTACTCCACCTGAGTATTTCACTTGCTCCCTCCCCCAGTGGGGAGTTCCATCTCAACTTCCATTCCGAGCAGGGAGCTGGCTGCTGCTCCAGGAGCAGGGCAGAAGGTCCTGTTGGATCCTGGCTGTGCAGGTGCTCATTGTTACCCTTCTCAGGTGTTAATGGCATTACTGGTCAAATGAACATGTTGTTGTGGGAGAATTGTTTTTGCAGCCCACACCTCTGTCTCTCAGCCCTTTCTAACCCCACTCCAGCTGCAGTTTTAGGCTTTGTCCTTCTTACAACCAGATCTCTTAACCCCAACCATGGGCTCTGATCTCCAGGGTCTTCCTCCACTTCCAGTGCATTTCCAATAGCCAAGATCTCCACCTGCTTTTCCAGACCCTATTCTTTTCAAGTCCTCCTCCTCTTTTTGGGAATCATTCTTTTTTTTTGCACCACCTTTTCCTTCTGCATCTGCAAGTTTCTGGTTCTCCCAGGCTAAACATGTGCAGCGGGACAGAGTGTTTTTCATGTTGCCTTTTTAATTGAAAGATTCAGGGCATGCCTCTTTAATTCAGGATTTAGCAAGTAATGGGCCTGAAGGCTTGAAAAAGTTCAAATTCAGACATTCCCCCACCCAAACATATACTATCTGCTGTCTGTTAACATTCACAATTTAAGTTATTTTTGATCAGTGAGGAAATTTTCCCTCGTCAGGAGGAGGAGGGAAGGTATCATCTAACATTGTCTCTAGTTCACATTGTGTCTAGTCTCTGATGCAGTCTTTGAAAATAAACTGTCTTCCTGCTTCTGTTTCCCTGTTACCTGTTTTTCAGGATGGATTCTATTTGTCATTGCAACGTGGGGTGGACTGGTTTGCAGTGATGGCTGGGATACCTCCAGAGAGGAAATACAACAGTGTCTTGTTTGGAGGTAGGGAAACTGAACAAACAAGCTAACAGCCAAAAAACAGTGTTCTTTCCAAGTCATTTGCAATGTTGATGTGAAGAATGACAAGAAATACAAAAAGCATGCTTGTCTCTTATTAGTTCTAGGTTTAAGTAACACAGAAAATGTCTCTTAGAGTAGATTATAAGTGATTTTGTTTTCAGCACACTGATAGCAATGAAGAGTTGGACAGCCCCATCTCTGTCGTTTGGAGACACCTAGAGAGGCAGGAGGAATGGGATATCAGGAACCTTGTGAAATTCAGTAAGGACAGATTTTAGGTCCTGCCTGTGGGAAAGAGTAGTCCTTGCAGTGCTACAGACTGGACACTCACTGGTGGCCCTGGGGGTCCTGGTGAGCAGCAGGCTGAGCATGAGCCAGCCCTGGCAGCAAAGGTGCCAAGAGCTCCTGGGATGTGTGAACAGAATCAGAATCAGTGGATTAAGGGAAGTGATCATCTTGCTCTACTCGGGACTGGATAGACCATATCTGAATTGTTACATTCAGTTTTGGTCCCCAGTACAGGGAAGAGTGTCCATACACTGTGGTGAGTTCAGTGGAGAGTCTGGGGCCCTTGGCTGGTCTGCAGTGAATGGCAGCTTTCCAACACCTGGAGAGCTAGGATCTTCACTGAGGTGTGTGGGAGAAGGAGATGCAACAGGTGTAAGTAGAAGCAAGGGAGGTTCAGGTGGGAAACAGGGGGGAACATTTTTCCAGTGAGGATGGTCAGTGGAACAGGCTGCCCAGAGCAGTGTCCATCCTCAGAGATTGTCAGACTCTGATTGGGTAAGGTAAGGATTGTCAAACCTGAACAGTCTGCTCTGACCTCACAGCTGACCCTATGAGCAGGTGGTTGGAGTAGGTGACCTCCAGAGCTCCTTTTTAACCTGAATTATGCTATGATCTTACTCAGTTTGTTCTACAGATTGTTACAGAAATACAGGCCTGCTGTTCCTTGTTGTCAGTCTGCCAGCTGAGGGTCAGGAGCCTGCTGTGCTGGGCCCTGGCAGTCACAGAAATTACTCTCCCTTCACAGTTTATCTGCATGTGATCAGAGATCAATCAGTAGGAAGCACTGGAAACAGAAACTTGTGCGTTCCAGCCTCGCTTGCCCCTTGGGCAGGTGTAGTGCAGCGCTGCTCCTAAATCCCATTAGTCTTATTAAAAGCAGCAGAGCCACTGGATTGCAGGACCCATAAGCATTTTCTCTCTCTAGGACACTGCTGTGGATGAGCTCCAGCAGGAACAGTGGGGGAAATATGTCATGTTACACATCAGAGACTCTTCTGGCTTCTTGCCATCTGGACAGTTGTGACAAAACTGTGATTTCAGAGTATGAAGATATGAAGGTGTCTGGATTAATTTTAGTTAGACCCTGTCTACCCTCTCTTTTTAGTGATCTGAGGCCTCCCCCAAGACAAGCAAAAGGCTTTTAAAATAAACTAAATGAAACACAAAACTTAATTAGCATATGTATGAATGTATTGTTACTATTTAAAGTAGTTTAATTTGGTATAACAGGCATTAAGAAGTTTATAAGCCATTTTCCTTTTTCCCCACCATATCCCTGCAGACATGTTTTTCTTTCTCTGTTCATTTTTTAGTCAAATTACTGGCTTTGAATGCTAGGAAACAGTTTTCTTTAATCCCTGCTTTCGGTCTCCTCTAAAGCTTGACCAGAAGCTTCCTACTTTCAATTTCTCACCATCTCAGATTGTTTAGACAAGGGGTGGGAACTCCCAGTCAAGTCCAACTTGTTGCTTTTCCTTTTACCTGCCGTGTCCTGCACTCTTGGGAGTGCTGTGTGGAAAGTTTCATTATAGTTGTGATGTTAAGCAGAGGCTGCTGCAACCTTCCTGCAGCCTGTGTTCCTTCACTGCCCTCATCTGCCACAAGAAGCATAGGATTGGGAAGGCACTTGCAAGCTCATCTTGTTTTTTCTCCCAGTGCCAGCCATATTTTTCATTTTTCATTAGACTGCAGGCTCTTCAAGGCAGAAACTTCTCTGCCCATGTCAGGGCCCTGATGGCACCAATACTTAGTTGCTGTGACCAGTCATCACCCCACATTTTCTGCCCAGTGATTCAGGAGCCGTGTTTCAGACTTTGTCTCCAGGGCTGTCTCTGTCCCCATCTCTTGGGATGGGCCTCAGATTTACTCTGGAGTGTCTTGTCTCCCAGCCAACATCACAGTGTTGTTCCCACTCCTTTCTCTGCCCCTGACTCCAGACTGGACTCCCTGGAAGGGAGTTGAACCCCTTGCCTTGCGTGGGACTGTCCGTGGGTCCTGCTGGCAGCACCTGCTCTGCCCAACCCATCAAACTGAGGGGCACCAGGCTGGTGAGGGCACTGCCAGTGCTGTGGTCACCCTCAGCTCCTTCCCCCTGTGGAACAGCCCTGTTTTTGCTGCATGCTGGCTTGGAAATATTTGGCATGAAAGGGTGTTTTTACAGTGCTAGAAACACAATGAAGGGAACTGTGTGTCATAAACTGCCGGTGTAAAATGCTGTAAGATTTTTTTAACCAGTTTTTTTGAGCTGTGAGTTATCAGAAGCAGCTCTTCCCGACATGGTGTCCAGTATCAATATTCTGCCTCCCTCAAAGCTGATGGGAGCAGAACTTCTGGTCTGTCTCTCCTCTGCCTTTTAAAGCTTTGATAGCTGAGTGATGTGAAACATATAACCCAGTTTTTCCTTTAGAGAAAAGCTGTGACAGCAAAGCATCTTTTGCCTGCTTGTTGAGAGTGTAGTGCAAATTAATAAGTCTATGAAGCTAGAAATGGCAAGAGAAAAGAGGAATTAAAGATCACAGAGGCTGAAGGCAGATTTCAAAGAACTCTTGGAGTCTGTTGGAATCACTCCTACCTCTTAGGGTGCCTCACTAACAGCAGTGCTTTAGTCCTTCTTTCCATGATAAAAAGGAAAGAAAAACTAATTAAGTGTGACAGAATCAGGTTCAAACAATCAAAAAAGTCTTAAAAGAACTGTGACTGTTAAAGACTGTGTTATCTCTGCTTTAAGAACAAAAACTGTATGTAGTCAGCAGGGAAACATCGGAGAATCATCATTCCATAATAACTAGTGAGTTTCAAACCTTTTCTCACCAGTGAAGTAACTAGGAATTAATCCAGTTTATGCCTGTTGCTCTGGTCAGGCCGTGCATCTGGTCTATCTGTATTTGCTACCTCAGTTAAGTAACAATGCAATGTTGGTGTTCTGAGAGACAATGCTAGTCTTCATAGCTGCTGTTTTACATTTCATTTCAAGTTTTTATCACACAGTGTGATAGATCTCGAGCAGCTTGGCTGTCTTTGTATTTAAGATGAAGGCAGCAAACCTAATGATTCATATCTTTTTATCTTTTTTTTTTTTAGGTCTGATTGGCTCAATCTTTTCCCTCCTGCAGTTTTTCTCCTCTCCCCTCACTGGTGCTGTGTCAGACCACTGGGGCAGAAGGCCTGTCATCCTGGTGACAGTGGTACGTGTCACACGCTGATCTTAGTCATGGCATCTCAACACACAGTGGAAGGCACCGTGATCTTGTGCTTAGTACAGAATCTGAATTGTGACAGTCACAGTTCAGCTCTAGAATTGAATTTTTGAGATCTGCTGCTGGCTGACTCTTTCTTGCCAAATCACTTGGCCACACTTCCAAGTGTGAGTGCTTAAACTGAGCTTCCCAGACCCAGAACTGTTCATAGAAGGCACCAAAATGTTTATCTGTTTCTGTCATTTTCCAAACCCCCTTTTCCTTGTGTATGGGAGAATGGCTTCAGATGCTCTGTTGACAAATGTTAAACTTAATTCCTATGTATTTTATTTCATCAAGTGATTAATGAAGGCTGATCACTTCATGACCTGTTCCACAGAGCATGGGTATTGTTGGTTAGGAAATTCTGTATAGCATTGCAAGATGCATTCCTTATGAATGTGAACATTCTTATTTTGAACTCAGATTTCTCTTGAATTTGGAAACAAATGGAGTGGGATGTACAAAAATGTTTTGTACCCAGGACTGGTTTAACTTCAACAGAATTTTGCTTTTCTAATTTTGTTAGAAATATCACAATTATATGTAGTTTGTATGGACTTGTTTCTACTTCTTTTATATTGCTGTTCAGTGCCAGTTTATTCAGTTACATGGGGCAGCCATTGAAAACAAAAAATGCAAATGTTTGGCTGGGAAATGGGCAGAAATGACATCAACTTTGCATTGCTTTATAAAGAACCCTTTCTTGCTTCTGCAGATGGGTTTGATAGCATCATACTCACTCTGGGCTGCCTCTCGGACTTTTGGCGTTTTTCTTCTCTCCAGGATCATAGGTGGGATAAGCAAAGGGAATGTCAGCCTCTCCACAGCTATCATTGCTGACTTGCACTCTGCAAAAGCACGGAGCAAGGGCATGGTGAGTTACACTTCTAGGGCACATGTGTAGTGTTAATAGGCAACTTCTAATTGATTTTGGGTGCTCAGTATGTCTTCATCAGGTGCGTGTTCACTGATCAAGTGAAAACATGACTTTACATTCTACCTTGCTTCTGGAAAGGTGCCAGATCATATTCCTGGGAGCTCTTGGACTTCTGCCAATGACCTTCACCTACAAGTGAAACACAGATGCTCTAGAGATGGGAAAATTATCTTGTTTCAGTGTTAGAACTGTTTCTCCTGCTGGTAACTTTAATGCTGATTATAATAGCTGAGAAATCAGAAGGTCTTATGGCCCAATTTTGGCACTGGAAGCCAGTTACAGGGCAACCCCTTTTCCTTGCCTTCCCAAGCTGAGGAAGCACAGCAGCACAGCACAGCATGCTCCTGACTTCTTGCATGCTGCACTGGCTTCAGGATCTGAGCTCAGTGGGTAGAGGATGTAACATTTGGCTGACTGAGAAGTATGAGCAGCTACCCTATCCCATTTCCAGAAGACAATGGCCCAGATGGAAACATCCTGCAGGCTGAACTTGGCCTGTGAATTACCAGTTATATCTTTTATCCTATAAAACCCTTACAGGCCCAGATTTCTCTTAACAGATTGTTGTAAGCCACTACAGAGGACAGCTGCTTCTTGGGAGGGGAAGGCTTTAGATTTCACAGTGATAGCTAATGAATCTTCCAAGCAAATTATCATAATCCTGGGGAGCCAAAAAGCATTTTTATTTGTGGAGAGAGGTAGCCTTACAGCACTAGTAAATAAAATGGGTCAGGGCCATTTTTAGGGCCTGAAAGTCACTTAGTGCAGCATGGGTCACATCCACATGGCTTGTATTCTTTTCTGTTCCAAAGCAAAGCAGGAATGTTCATTCTGCTTTCTGGGAGGCAAACAGCATCTGAGTGAAGCTGTTCTCAAACAGTGATGGGCCACTGCCTATTCCTGGTTCTTCCCTGACTAGACAGAAAACAAAATTGGTTATTTGGAAACAGCAGGCTTTTAATGCTTCATGCTCCTTCATATGCACTGCCTGAATCCTCAGGATGATTGATTTCTGTACCTGGTTAATCCAAATAGTTTCAGAATTTGAAAAAGCTGGTGTCTAAAATTCTGTGTCTGTGTTCATTTTATCCCTGCAGGCCATGATTGGTGTTGCTTTCTCCCTGGGCTTCACCCTGGGCCCCATGATGGGTGCTTACCTCACCATGCAGACAGAGAAGGGAGAAGTCTTCTACCTTCGCTCAGCCTTGTCAGCACTCGTGTTTTCTGTGGCTGATTTCATTTTCATCTTCCTCCTTCTTCCAGAGACACTTCCCAAGGAAAAACGGGTAAATGCACCATCAGTCTCAAGATCTGGTTTTTCTGTAAAAATAGGATTTGAAAATGGTTGAAATATTTGAAACAGTGAAGAATAGGCTTAGCCAGTGTCTCAGAGATGAAGCTCATTCCTGGATTGGGATTATTATTAATGCTGGTGTCAAAGCAGCTGTATGATCACAGAATCATAGAATATTTTGTATTGGAAGGTGATTAAAGATCACCTATTTCCAACCTCCCTGCCACAGGCAGGGACACGTTCCATTAGACCAGTTTGGTCAAAACCTCATCCAACTTGACCTTGAACACTTCCAGGGATGTTCCCATCTCCTAGCCCAGTGTAATAAGATCTTTATAATTAACATGAATGCTTCCTTGCTGGTTTTGGTGTGTTAGGTTTAAATTTCTCAAAACCTAATGTGAACGTGGGAGGGAGACTGTGAAATTTAAACTATGACCACAAGGATTCCTTGGGGAAGAATTTCAGCAAATCATAAAAGTAAATGCATCAGGGACTGGATTTTCTTTCATTCAGCCAGTATATGTTAGAAGTTTTCTTACCTATTATCTTGTATTTGCTTGAATATTTTGAACATTAAAATAGCAAATTACTTTTTTTTCTGAGCTGTTCTGTCTTCTACAGACAGAAAATACCTACATGTGCTAAAATCCAATGACTGATTGGATTTGTAGGGCCAAACATTTATTAATATTAGGATTTAATATTGTATGGTTGGACACTGTCTGGTTAGTCTCTTAGAACAGTCTCCTTTGTAGAGTGAGAGAGGTGGAATTCAGCCCTGAGTATCTGCACTTGATTTGAAGCCTTCACTGGATTGGGTCTTTGCTGTGATCCCTGGTTTCTAGGCAGCACTCAGTTTTTGGAGCATGCTTGGTCTCTGGATAGCCAAACCCATTTAACATGGAGAATTGTTCAGGAAACTTTTATCTGCAATGATCCTACCAGGGCAAAACTTTGCACCTTCCCTGAGTGTTTCCCAGCAGGTTGTGTCCCATGTGAAATGTGTTGCTCACACTATGTTCCCAAGTACCACAGCTACGTTATTTTCTTTTAACAACTCTTCCATGTGTCATCTGTTCCTCTTTCCTATTAGGCTGTTCCTAAACCTTCCAGATAAAATCCTGCTCTTAGTTGGAGCTGAGCACTCCAGGAAGGTGACAACATGGTGATGTAGGGAAGTGCTGCAGAGCAAATCTGTATTCTATAAACAATTTCCCCTTTGCTGTAGAGCGATTAAATGGCTGCAGTGCCTTTTGGGATCATGTGATGACTGAATAGATTCCTCCCCCTTTTATTATCCTCTTGAAAGTTCTGATCAGCTGCTCTGTATTAGCCAACACCACTGGATTTTGGTAAGGAAAGGAGCTCTCTGTCACTGCTTTTTGGGGCTCTGCCCCTGTACAGGAGTGGGTGCTGCAATGAGGTGCTGCTCAGGGCCAGGTCCCAGTCACACAAAGTGCACAGAGAGTTTGGCTGCTCATCACAGGGTGGTTTGGGGCTTCTTGTGCTCATGTGCTCTCAGCCTCCATCTGGGCATGTGATCCATGTGTTCCAGCATATTTGTAATTTCAGTTATTAGGCTGCTCTGCTCTCTTCTTTGGTAATTCCTCCCACTTCCTGAGCAGTTTTCTTGGCCTGTGGATGACAGAGGAAAGGCAGGTATGTTGGCTGCCTTTCTGGAACTTGGCTTGGCTGAGCTGGAGCAGGTGCTCCCACAGGTGTAGGAGTGGAATATGTTGGAAGGACAAAGCTGTAAAAAGAGGTGAAATCATCATGATAAATGGCAGGAGGATGTGCCAGTGGGATCAAACATCTGTTTCCTTGAAGTTTGCTGTGTTCTCATTATACCCTTGTTTCTCTATCAGTCTGCTTGTGACAGGACGGAGTGTTTCATATTGATTCATGTTGAAATTAATTTGTAGGAAGGGAAAATGGAGGGGGATGGGAAACAAGGATGTGTTTTGATCAAAAGAGAACAGCATTTTTACTCTCTTCCTTCCTCTTTTTGTCAACTGTTCCACCAGTTGATCGGGTCAAGAGAGTCATACTGGCCTTATGGTTGCCAAAACAGCCACTGCTGGGAGAAGGGAATAATAGGAAGGTCTCTAGTGGAATCTGTCCCCTTTAAGAGCTTTTGAGTTAGTTTTTTAGCTAAGCTAGCCATGAGCAAGGCTGCCTAGTTGGAGGGAGAGTCTTACAACTCTTTTTTTCTGGGCTGTGTGTAGGGCTTTGCAGTATCAGTAGCAGACCTGTGGAAAGACAAAGCTGTGCTCTGTGCATTCTGGTTTGGAAGGTGAGGCTGCAGCTGGGCAGGCCCAGGCTGAATTCCTGATGTGGCCTGACTGTGCCTTCCAGACCTGTTACTGAGTCTCTCTGCATTAGAGGAAAACAGAATGAGCAGAGACACTCTGAAAAATGCCTGCCATTCATGGTGACTTTTGGGATGGTCTGAAGTAAAATTGAGCAGTTATGGAATAATGAATCATAAGCATAGGGATTAAATACAAGTTACATGTTGCAGAGTTTGAACCTGTGAAGAAACTCAACTTCATGCAGCTGCTGACACTGACTGAAATTGGCAATGTGTACTTTTTGGGGGATGGTGAAACTCTTTAGCCAGTTTTAGGACAATGTTTTCATTATGCATCAGTAGATTAAATCATTTCTAGAACACTGTTTCTATGGCAAAGATAGGAGAAATTGAAAAAAAATTATGCGTGCACACACAAACACACCTACATTAAAAAATGGAATAGGTGTATATATTTCATAAACCACCTAAGATTTTAAACATGTGCAATTACAATGTATTGTAATTGGACAAAACTAAAATCAGCCTTGTGCAAAGCTGCTTGGCATCCTGTCTGACATGGATAATAATTCAAAACAGGTACAAGCTACAGGGTATTTTTGTTACTGGCAAAGATGCTTGCAGGGAGTTGCTTGTGCCCAGATTCTCTGTGCTGGAGGGCAAACCCCATCCCAACAACACATGCAGGAACTGGGGATTGCCACAGGCCAGCTCCAGGAAATCCTCTTAGACTTCTTAATAGGGTGAACAAACTTCTTGGGTGTGTCTGTGTACTGTGTGCAATACATGCAGTGGGAGGGGGAATAAACATCCCAGTATTTTCTGTGTGAATCAGCAGCTTCGTGGCTCCAGGCCAGCCCAGCCTATTGAGCTGGTTGCTGTTGTGGGACTAATGGGCTCCAGACTCTGCTGTGGGGTACTCAGCAGCTCTGACTATCAAAACAAGACAGGGGCCATGTTAATACCATATTGAAGGTTGATTTGTTTACAGCTTCATTAAATCCAGCCCCTAATAAGTCCCAGGTCATGCACTGAGATTAAATTCCACTGATAATCTGACTTTTAATCTCTGCCCTCAAAGGGATGGTAGCTCCTTCCCTCCCCATCTGGGAAGAGAAGAAAACTCATCAAATAAAGCCTGGGAAATGCTTTGAAGATGTGAAATATTACATGTGATTATTCAGGATTCTTGAGTGTCTTCTCTCTCCCTGTGACTGTTGTGTAAAGTGACAAGCTAAGTTCTACTCAAAAAAATTGTTTTCCTAATAATGTAGGTAATTTGGTTTCTAATAATTCAGACATTATTAGTGTTTTCTTTAATTTTCTATATTTTAGAATTTTTTTAAAAAATGTAAATTATCTATAGATGAAAGAATAAGCATTAGATGGAAGAATAAGTGCCTGTGGGTAAGGAGCAGGGAGAGTGCCACTAGGTACATAATTAGGTTGGGATGTACACAGTACAAGGCCCAGAAGTGTTACAAAATAAATCTCCCTCTTCAAAAAGCAACCCACTGTGGCTGAGCAGAATCTCCTTGGAAATTTCTCTAAAATATTTTCAAAGAATCTCTGTAAAAATTATATGTTTCCTTCTCTTCCCCAGGAGGTGTCACTGGCTGGCTAAAATAGCAACCAGTGTTTGATGTGCTGCACATACTGGTCTCAGATTTGTAGCACAAGACCAAATCCTCAACTTCCTGTGAGCTTGCAGGCAGATGTGCCAAAGTTTTCCCAGTAAATGTTCTTTGGACATGAGTGATGATGCAAAAGGTGAACCAAATAAAGCCAGCTTCAAGGCTGTGGAGAATGAGCCACTTCTGCTTTGTAAGAGCCAAAGAAGAATTTCTGTCCTCAGTGAAAGGTGCTGTCAGTGCTCTACCTTTCCACTGCAGTCGCTGGCGCCAGTTCTGAGTTCAGAGTCTGGGTTGTTATTGGGGCCCACTCAAATCCCAATGCCAGGTGCCTTGTTTCATCTCAGATGATTTGTGTAGGTGTGGAGGCACATTTGGTGGTTACTGTCAGTTCCTAGCAGTGGTTATTGCATTAGGGTTTTAAATAAACCTCTTTCTGTCTTTGATCAGGTCCCTTCTGTGGCATCTGGATTTCAGGCAGCAGTTGACTTGCTCAGTCCTTTGGCTTTGTTTCAGTTCTCTGCAGTCACCCGAGGAAAGGAATCCCCTTCAGAGCAGAGTAAGTGTCAGGTGGCTTTTTACAGTAATACTCTGTGTTTTTTTGTGTATGGCATTGGCCTCTAAGTGAAAACTGTACTCAAACCATTCCAGAAGCAGGACTCTGTCGACTCATTTAAAACCCACCTTAATAACTTATGCACAGGCAATCGTAACTTCCACTGGACCTTGGTCCTTTTATTCCCAAAACAAGGTTTTGAAGATGAGTGTTTTGAAGATTTCTGACTTGATATTTGTGTTTTCCTCAGCCACTGGCTGTCGTAAGTGAAGTGATTTAAAGATAGATCAAGGCATGAGCAAGGGAGATGTGAGTTTGCTTATTCAAGCTGCAAACCAGGAACTTCAGACTGGAATTTTGTTTCTCAATTCATGACTTGGAGATGTAGGATTCCCTGCATCTCTGTAGGACTCATTTTGTGGCATGTCTTGTATGGATATTTAAAATGAGCATCTGAGGTGATAAATGAGCATCTGTACAGTTGATAAATGCTGCCCTTCTGTTGTGGTTTTATTGTCAAGCTTTGCTTGGAAAACACCACCATGTTTTTCTCCCCACCTCCCACCCCCTTGGTGTTTGTTTGGACTTTTTTTTTTGTTTTTTCAGATCTTCAGAATCTCAAAATTTTGGGCCTGGCCTACTTCCTGTACCTCTTCCTGTTTTCTGGCTTGGAGTATACACTGAGTTTTCTCACTCACCAGAGATTCCACTTCAGCAGGTATTGCAATAAATGTTTGGATATTTTCCAAAATTTTGATTTAAGGTCTCTTCATGTATTTTCAAGAGAGGTTTTCTGACATTAGTAAAGCCACCCCTGTGTTCAGTGGTATTTGGGCTTTGTAAGAAGAATTGATGAAATATAGACACAATGTTTATTATGAAAGGAAGTACTCCATCTACAGCTTCTAAAACTGGGGACTATAAATACCCAAGATTAACTTTAAGCTCCTGAAATAGGTATAGCTGTGCTAGTTGTATTGATTACAGTAAAACCTTTTCTTGCTCAGAAGAGTTTTTGGGTATCAGGACAAATCTTGAAGCTCAAAGAGGTGAAGAATGGGGGGATATCTGTGTGCTGATATTTGCTCACCAGCAAATTCTGCATGGCATATGGTGTGCAGTCATGTCACAGAGCCTGATTTCCTGTAGTCAACCACCAGAGAAGAAAGAGCAGAATCCACCAACAGCTCAGCTTGAAATACGTTTTCTGCCAGCTCATAGGAAGAATTCCAGCCAGGAATGTGAACTTGCAACTTGATTCCTGTGCGTGTCCTTCCCTTTGAGTAATTCTCAGGGGGCTGTCTCATCTTTCCCTGTCTGTCTTTCATTACAGTGTGTGGTTTAAGTAATCCATGTGTGTCAAGGAGAGGTTTTGTAGCGCTCTGAGCTCTGTTGTGTCCTGTGCACTCAGGGCAGCCCTCGGTGAGCTGCAGAGCTGTGTGCCAGCAGCGCAGGCTCTGAGGCTGCAGGCTTGTTGTGGAGGTGAGAATATCCACATAATTCAGTCAGTGAGAGAGGGGAAAGGGAAAGTTGAAGAAAATTGAAGGGTGGAGGGAGTGATGTCTCAGGCTTCGCAGAGAGACCTTGCTGACCCCCATCAAACCCTGCATGAGCTGCACCTTGGGAACCAACACCTCCTGTGCACATGCACGGATGTTCACAGCTCAGGGCCACCGATGTGCTTTGTGGGCCACCCCAGAAACCCTCACCTAGCCCAGAGCAGCCCAGAGGCGGCTGCAGCACCTGCCACATTGTCCCACCTATACAGTGAGACCCTGGGTTTTCCCTCGCTGCTCTCTGCTGCCGTGGCAGCTGCTGGCGGTGTTGTGAGACCCTGCAGAGCTGTGAGAGCCCCAGGGGCTTTTTGTGTGCCTCGCTCAGGGAGGGCAGCCCGGAGTGGTGAATCCCAGGGGGGAACGCTCCGTGCCTGACTCCTCATCCGTGCTTTTGCCTCCCTTCCAGCATGCAGCAGGGCAAGATGTTTTTCTTTATTGGAATAACAATGGCTGTGATCCAGGGAGGCTATGCTCGCCGAATCAAGCCAGGAAATGAAATCAGAGCTGTAAAAAGGGTAAAAAAAAAATCAATATTTCTTTTTCTTTCCCCCCCACAAATCTGATATGTTAATTTTTAGTCTGAAGTGCAGTGAAGGGTAGTTGGAGGTTATAACTGTATTTGTCCAATCAAAATAAATTTCTCTCTCATCTGTCCAGCTAAATGACTTCTCAAAACTGGTTGTTGGGCACTTATCTAACTAAACTTTGGGACATTAGAGCTCTTCCTTATGATATGAGCAACAATAGTATTGAAACTTTGTGTTCTTCATATTTAATTACAGTAAGGAATGAGAACAGATTGTATATCTGTACAAGTTAGGTAGAATATTGTGAAGAGTGTGCTTTATTTCAGTGATTTCTCTTGCAATGCAGAAACCACTAAAGCTGCTTCAGGGCTGATCTCTGACTTTCTTTCTGGGAAATTGTTTTCAATCTGGCTATCCTTATGCTTGACAGGCTTTCCCTAGAGTATATTTCACTGCTGGGCAGGGAGAAATAGATTCTTTTTCCAATCTTTGGTTTGTGATCATCAGCATGACACGTAACAAAAGCATGTATCAATGTTCAGGCTGAGGTTTCACTGACAGAAGTGTACATTCCTTTGTTTTGCTTGGCTCTTTCCTCACAGAGGTACTGCAGCTGCTGTGCTGGGATGACAGGGAGCAGCTCCCTGCAGCTTATACAGCTGTGGGGACAGTAGATGTGTCCTTTACATTTGTGTGTGGAACCAGACAAAGCACTACCTTGGCTCCTTGGCAATAGGTTTGCTTGGACTGTTAGAGCCTTGATTAATGTATTTTACATTATTTTGAGGCCCGTGTGATTTCACTGGTGGAAGGGTAGATTTCCAAACCACTGCATTCCAGTGAATTGACTCAGCTTCTCTTAAAGTGATTTCTGCTGGTGAAACAATCTCCCTCCACCCTGGTCCCTGGCAGGCAGACATCGGTGTCAGGCTGCTGGTGTCACGTTTCCCTGTGGATGAACATCAGCTGTGCTGCTTCATCCTCCACCTCCCCCGTGTGCTCTGTCAGCCTGCTGTGTTTGCTGGCACTGCACTGCCCTCTGCACCTCTCATTTTCGTACTCCTTCCCCAGCCCTGCACCAGGACTGGTCACCTGAAACACTCATTTGCTGGGCTGGTGGCTCCTCAGAACACCCCCAGCCCTGGGGACTCTTCTCCATGGATGCCCGTGGGTTCTGTGGGAATTCCCCCTTTTGCTGAAGTGATTCTGGCAGTTTGTGAATCTGCACCATATGGCAAAAGGGGCCTCTCTTATACAGTGGTTACAGTAGCTCATTTATCACTGAATCTTCAAAATGAGGCACTCGGTGGCAGTGAATACCCTCCTTTATCACACACAAAGCAGATCTGATCTGTCTTTTCTGCAGGAGCTCTGTAAGCAAGGGAGGCATCACAGGCGAATGGAAGTCCAGCTCCTGGAGCAGATGAAGAATGCTTTTTATTTTGGGGGTTTGAATTTTAGATGCAACCTCTCCCCCCTTTTTTTCCTCTTGGCTACAGAAACCTTAAAGCTAAAGGTAAAATCAGCCAATAACGCTGGGAAAAAGCAGAGGAGCTGTAGTCCTGCTGCACACAAGCTTTTTCTTCTCTTGTGCCAGCTCAGGAGATGAAGAGTTAAAGCCAGATTTCTGTCCAGGCCAACACAAAACAAGAGGAAAAATCCCCCCAAAACGGCAGCAGTGTAGAGAGAGAACTTGCATGTGCAATCATGTGGTAGTGAGAGGGAGCAGAAAAGTTCATGGTGCTGGTGTGTGGCCGTGCAGGTGACTTTGAAGTGTCTGCTTGGGAAAAAAGGGCTTTCAGCTTGTAACTTGTGTGCTGTCCCATCCCGGATGGGAACTGGCAGGACACCTGGAGTTAGGCTTTAACAAGCGCGGCTCAGCTGTAACCGTGTGACTCATTCCTTTTGCAGGCTATTATGTTGCTGATTCCAGCGTTCTTGTTAATTGGATGGGCTGCAAATGTGACCATGCTGAGTGCCGGACTGTTGCTGTACTCCTTCGGTGAGCTGTTCAAAAGGCGCTGCAAGCTAAGCACAAATGATTTTCCTTCACGTATTTATTCACACTGTTACAAAAAAAAAAAAAAAAAAAAAAAAAAAAGATGCGCCTTTAATTTCAAACGACAAGTAACAGAAAGTTGACACTTGGGTTTATGAAGTATGGACGAAACAGTGTCTGGGGTTTTCTCTGATGCTGTTTGTATCACAGGAAGTTATCATGGTGGTTGGTATTTGGTGCTCTTGTTATCCTGTTTCCACTGTGGAGCTCTTGAGGATGTTTTTTTTACCCCTTCTTAGCAGGCCCAGAAGGAAAGTATTCACTAAATAGCTCAGCTCAGGAAAAAAAGCAAGACATGGAACCTTTGTAGCCAAGTGGTGCTGCATTATTTCTTAGGCTGGAGACCTGCACACTCTGAGGGTGTTCAGAGGGTCAGGTGTTTTCAGTGTTTGCAAAATTCTGTTCTGCCAACCTAAGCTGTTGTTCAGGGAAACAGTAATGAATGAAGTTGGATCCATCTATTGGATGTCTAAAAACACATTTCAGGTATTACCAATGCTGCTAACTATTGTTAAGCAGCTCCATATATGACTTAGTACAGAAGTGGACTTCTCTTTTGCATGGTACAGCTTGATTTGGGAGTAAACTGTAAACCACAAAATGTACTTATTGAGCCTATGGTTTGTCTGGGGCCAGCTGTGTGTTTGACAGGTGAGGAGTGAGAGGGGGTGTTCATTATGTTTAACCATATTTGAGTCTTCCCTGGCCCCCTCCTGTGCAGACTCCATCTCTTCCCAGTTAAGCCAGCTAGAAATGCCCCTTGAGGGAGGCGTTCTCTTCTCCTTTTCCTCCCTCTGCCCAGCAGTGGGGCCATCTGCAGTCAAAGCAACCTTGATCATTCCTGCTCTTCTCTTCCCTTCCCCTGCTTTAAGTGTTTGAGGCACTTTTTGGCAGAAAAGGCCCCTATTGCAGTAAGAGGACAGTGATTGCTGAACAGCTCTTGGCTTTTGTGTCCAAAAAATTTTGTAACCTTTTCTTCTTGGATGTGACTTTCCAAGAGAGGCTGTAGCAGCCTCTCCTCCCTGAGTCCAGTGCCCTGCCTGCACAGGGACAGTGTCACTCGGTACAGCCACCTCATTGTCTGTTTGGAACAGAGCAACTCCCTGCTCCCCCTGATAAGAGCACAGTGATTTGGAAAGCTGCCAGCTGGCTGATCTGCCCTGTCCATCCCTGTCCCGAGGGCTCACAGAATGGGGGATGCTAATGTGAAACATCTGCTTGGAGCACTCACAGCTCTGGGCTCCTCCTGCAGGTTGGCTTGGAGGGGCTGTTCCCATCACTGACCTGGATTAAACCTGGTGACTCAGTGGTGGTAGAGTGCCCAGAGCTCAGCACATTTCTCTGCAGCAGTAACGAGTTTGGGCCACATGTTTGTCACTGTTCTTGTCTGTTCTGAGCTCTGCTGTTCACTGACAGTCTCTTCTGTGGATTTTTCCAGCTGCAGCCATTGTTATCCCGTGTTTGTCAGCAGTGGTGTCAGGCTATGGTGAGTGTCCTTCCTGCTCTGACCTTTGTACTGACTTGGCTCCAATTGCACAGAACTGACCTTGAGTTGAGTGAAGCATCAACAGGAACAGTTGTGGATCCATCTCGGGCCCTTCTGCAGGGGAGCACAGGGAACCAGTCTGGCTCATAACTGATAATTTCAGCACTAACAGCAATGACCTGCTCAGTGACCATCAATATCACACTGCAATTTTGTGCTGTGTAACACAGCTCAGTCCAGTGTGATGGGGAAACTGCAGCGACCTCATTGCTGGTGGTGATGAAGAAGATGAGAAGTGGGCAAAGGCCACAAACAGCAGTGAGGAGGGAACAGTCTGGGCTCTCTGGAAAGGACACCAGCCATCCCTGCCAGCAGTGAAGTAATTTCTTGCTGATTCCTTAGAAAAGATCTTCTGAGGAACCTTCTGAAACTTTCTGGCAGTGGTTGCTCTGTTACCTTGTAAAGCAGATGTAGCTGTGGTGCCATCTGTGGATAACACGGCTTTGGGTCACCTGGGTGCCAGGACTACAATGCTTGCTGAGGTGGAAAAGCAAGCTTTTGCTCATTAAGGTCATGTTTATGTTGCTCTTATTTAGCTTGCATCCACAGTTCAGTGTTTATTGTACACCTGGGCCTCCTCAGAAAATCTTGTGTACAATGTGAAGCTTTTGTTTTGGATAGGTTTGGGGGGGTTGAACTGCAAATTGTCCCAGTCAAGCACTTGTGCCAGGCCCTGGTGTTTATGCAGTTGTGAGGGCCTTGGTGGAGGGCAAGGGCAGGCTGGGGACTGGGTGAGAAATGATGGGAGGGGAAGATGCAAGTGGGAAATATCCCAAAGAAAGAAGCTCCCAGAGCCACAGCCGTGCCCATTCCCCACAGTGTCACACTCTGCTTGCACAGGCACTGCCGGCCAGAAGGGACGAGTCATGGGCATCCTGAGGAGCCTGGGCGCCCTGGCCAGAGCCCTGGGCCCCATCCTGGCAGCTGCAGGTGAGTGTGGCCTCGTGCTCCTTCCCCTTCTTGGCACCAGCCAGCCCAGGTGGGGCAGGAGGGGCACAGGTATCTCCTGCTTGGGGTCAGAGCCCCTGAGCATTTCAGGGTGAAGGGATAGAGGAGGGGGAAGGAGCCTCAGAGCTTGAACCTGGGCTGATGTTAACACCAAGCAAGCCAGAACCTGTCTGTCTCCTGAGTGCAGCCGTGTGCCAAGCTCCTGGCACCCTCTGGCTCAACCAAGGGGTCAGTAGTTCTGTTCTGTGCAGGTACAACAGCTTTGAAGGCACCCACACATCTGCAAGGACAAGCTCAGTAACAAGATGAATTCCCTTTCTTTTGCAGTTTACTGGCTGGCTGGGGCAGAGGTTTGCTTCACTATCTGTGGAGCTTTTTTCCTTGTCCCCTTGGCTCTACTCAGGTCTATAAAACAGACAAAGGAGGAGTAGGAAGGAACCACAAAACCATCACCAGCTTCCAAGGACCTCTGCAAGACCTGACTCTTGGCACCTGACTCTGCTGAGCAAATAGGAAGATTTTGATCTTCTGGAAGGAGATACACGATGATGAACATTTGCAGCAACATACAGCAGTTTTGTTTAAGGTGGCCTCCCAGCCAGCTGGGTTAGCTTTGCAAATAGAAAAACACCAAACAAACAAAAACAGACACACACACCCCCTTACCAAGAGCTGAGTAAGGCACGAAGAGCAGCAGAGAAGCAGAGACAGCACAACAGCAGCAGGCCTGGAGCCCTCCCCACTCAGCAGGTGCTGTTGCACACAGGGCTCTGCTCCTCACCCCGAGCCTCTGCAGGGGCTGGGCTGCCACAGAACAAACCCTCAGGACCATTCTGATGGCGTTTTTGTACAAGTGGTACAAGAGCGCTGCAATTGCTGCATCCACACCTGCAAACGTGATGGTCAAACAAAAACAGAGGCCCACTACAGGCTGCCTGGTACCCCACTGGTACTTTGGCACAGGTGGACTGTTTTTAATATACAAATAAATTTGGAGACCTGTTTTATATTTCTAATACTGTGGGATGTTTTTGATGACCAAGCCCTGTTCTTTTTGCATTACAATAAAGGGTTACATTGAACACGCCTGTGGTCAGTTCATTACAGTCGTTACCCCCCTCTGAACTGAACATCCCTGTCTGGCTGAGGCAAAAAGGGGCCAGAATTTTACCCAAGGAGGCAAGGGCCTCCTTGAGGGAGCCAGCCTTGGAGGAATCTCTGGGAAGGGAGTCCTGCCATAGCCAATTGGAGTATTTTCTGAGAAGGAAAGCCATCACTAATCAACACCTTAATTATTAAAAGAAAACTAAGCAAATGAGGCTACAGAATAAAAGTGTACAAGTTTTGAAAGCAGAGCATGATTTTTTCCAAGAGTTTTATTTGTGAGTAGAACTTAATGATACAAGAAAGAAAGAAAAATACAGGACTTTATTCTGCCCCAAAGTGTGTAACCATACCATACATGACTACATTTCATATTGTAATACAAAGAACTAAAAGAACAAACTACAAAATTAGAAATTAAGAGTCATTGCATATGTGGTCAAGATAAATGGAGGGACTTCAGTAAAGAACTGAAACATACAGCAATTAGTCATTTAGTTACGACCCTGCAATAAAACACAATTTAGCAAAATAAGTGTTGTTTGCTTCCTAGTGTACAAGGACATACAATGTTAGAGCAGAAGCTGAAAGCCATTCGTGCCATGCAGTCCTGCCTGAGTGCTGCTGTCCAGGGGCTCCGGCCCAGTGCCCGCTGCTCTGGCCCACACCGGCCCTGTCACCTTTCCCACGGCCCCAGTGGCCACCTCGACCCCTCTGTTCTCGCTTGAACACTGACAGCTCAATTCCACTTCCAGCTGTTCCCCTCTGCCGCTCAAAACCAGCCCGAGGCATGGGCACCTCCCGGCCCGGCCCAGGCGCTGCCTCCAGCCGCTCCACCCGCCCGGCCCTCCGTGCTTTCTGCTGCATGAATGTAAGGCATTAGTTCTCTGCTATTGCAACATTTAATATCGTCCTAAAAGGTTACATCCATGTTCTGTGGTGTTACAGACGCTTACTGTGAGTCAGTGTGTTGCCCTCACCCCCACGGGGTGTTGGGGTTTGCTGCTGTTAAACCCAAAATGCAAATTCTGGAAACCAGAACTGGTCACTGCCCCGCCGGCCCTGGGCCGGGGCACAGCACCCGCTTTCCAGAGAATTCCACAAGCTTGACCTGCCTGATCTCAAACTACTTTTACAATTAGTGATAGACACAAGCATGGCAATAACTGGGAAATAGTGAACTCAGTGGCAAGAGTGATCTGCCATGCTGCACATTAAACAAACATTTATAGCAAACAGTGAAAATACACCTTTGAGGTTACACGGGATTGCTGTACTCAACCGCTGGCAACAACAACAAAAAGGTTTAAAGAAAGGCCAGCTTTTGTAAGTGAAAATATAATTACTATAAAACAAGGTGAAATACTCAGTGTAATGCATCTACATTTTTGTTAGTGGGAAGGAACAAACACAAAAGGCTGCACATGGGGTTTATGCACAGCAAGGTTGCATGTGAATCAAAGGGATTTTTAAAAGGATGAGAAGAACTGTGCTAAGGCCCAAAACACACCTGCCCATGCTCCACACCACCAGCTTTGACTTCAGTTACTTTTTAATCTTTTCTAACAGCCAAATCACCACATGACTCAGTGAGGCAAGAGCAAAGACAGATTTCCCTTAAACTGTAATTCACTAGAAAGAAAAAGAACAGGCCAAGACTGGGCTCTTTGAACACACAACGTGAGCGGAACACACCACGGACATTTCAGTCCTAGACAAAGACTGATTTCACCAGCCAGTTATAAAATAAAACAAAGTGAAAAACACCTTCATTTTGTAACAACAGTGAGAAGGGAGAAAGAGAGGAAGCAATGGAGAGCCTCAAAGCCTGGCCAAACCACAACCTGTACTCACAAGCTTGCAGAAGTTTACGTGTCAGTTCAAGAATTCACCCCCTTGAGAACACCACTGCAAAAGCATCCTCTCTAAAAGTAAAAATTTAAGAAATTTACTTGTGACTTGGAATGGAATATTGGAAAGAACACTTCTTGTGGGTAAGCAATGGGTGGTTTATTTTTAATTGTGAATTTTTTATATTCTTTTGCAAAGCAGTGCAGGCTTTAAATTAAAAATAGTGAATCAATGCCTTCCACATGGAAGTCATTTACATTTGATTACAAACTAGGGATCAGATCTGTGGCAGCTGCTGAACACACAGGATTAGCACCTTTTTGGACACGAGTTTCTGGTTATAACCCTAAACAATCAAGCCATAACTTGAGGGGCTGGTTGGATTAATTGTGGCATTCATTTACATAGTAAGACAAAACACTCAGTACGATCTGGTACATTCTAGTGGTTAATGGATTTTAAAATATGACAGTGTTTCTGCAGTGGGTTGGCCTTTAGGAGTCACTCTTCTTTTTGCTCTTCTTCAGGAAGGAAGGAGTGCGGAACTTCTTTTTCTTTTTCGATGGGGACTTCCCTGGAGATTCATCACTACCTGCATCAGCTGCTGTCCCCTCCTCAGCTGTTGGTGTTGCTGGCTCTTCAGTGGGTTGGGACTGGGGTTCTTTATTTTCCACTGCAGGCGGTTCCGTTTGGCTTTTGGGCACATCATGATCACATCTCCCTTCCTCCTTCCCTAAGGGAGGGAAGCCGAGTGCTTCCGAAGGCTCATCGGGGGTGAGATCTGGGAGGGTTTGCTTGAAGGTTGCAGCATCACTGTCATCTCTGTAGGTCTGCTCCTGCCGTGCCTCTGGTGGACGGACAGACAGTGACAGTCAGTTTACAAAAGTGTCCCTGGAGCAGGGCTAGTGAGGCAAGTGGATGGTGAGCGCGCTCTATAAGAAACTAATATATTAACTTGGCACGAAAGCCTTTGTAATAGGGCTGTTCTCCAGCTTTGGGCACAGAAGAAATAAGATATTCCAAAGTTCTGTTTGTTTTTAAGCTTCTTCACACAGAACAGATAAAGCTGAATTCCATCAGCAAGAAAGTAACTGTTCAGACCTCACTCCTGGTTTACTCATGATATTTGCAGGCAACACAATATTTTGTACAATAAAGCAGGAATTAAACCTACAGTTTTCATTGGAATTGAGTGTTTTGCAATTCCATATTTTATTTTTATTTCTTTTGGAGAGATAAAACTAATCACTGATTTGCAGTGATCCTATACATGCAAATCCATTAATTTCTAAGTTGTTGCTTTGCCAATTTATAATCCCAATGAAGAGATTTTCATAATATTCTTCCATGAGATCTGACAGATATTGCTTCAAAATATAATTTCCTATCACAAAGGCTTCACTTTTTTTTGGCAAGATATGAGTACATATTATGGATTCCTATAAGTAAAATCCATGTAGTTTATCAAATTAAATGAGCTCAGCAGGTTATGCAATACAGCTTGTTTTGTTTATTGTATGTGATGTCAACAGCCAAACTCACCCTGTAAAAGGGAACATCGAGAGTCCAGTGGCAGCTCTGTGTGCAGAGGGGAACTGAACCACTCCTCCCTCACTGTCCCCACTCAGGCTGTGCTTTAGGATGTTCTGTTTAGGGCTCCTCTTTGTGCACGGCCCGAGCAAGGAGCACTGGGGGCTCCCTGCCCTGCTCTCCGTGCACCGCAGCCAGCAGCGTCCCGCTAGCTGTGCCACATCTCTCCCCACCGATGTTACGTAAGGAGGAATTCAGAGCAAATTCCAGGCCATGCTCATTGTGAGGCACAAATGAAAGGCAACTATTTTTTCCTCCTTTCAAGATCTTGTTTGTTTTAATTTGAAAAGACTGAAGGCTTTCAGAAGAATTTACAGAAAATACTTGATACTTTCACATTTTTCATATAAAAATGACAGTGTTCTTTTTACTTCTGCCAGATGGGATTAATAATTTTCTGACATATTTTAGAGGGCTCTGTTCTGTGAATACCTGCTAGGAAACAAATATGTTCTGCCTAGAGCACCATGAACTTCTAACAGGTTAAATAAACACCACACACTAGTATCCACTCAGAATGCACAAGTTAGCAGTTTAAAAGTTATAATGCAGGCAGGATTTAAATCAGAGCAAAAAAGAGAAAGCAGTTATGTACAGTACAGGCTGCCTTCTGAAGCTGTAGTTTAGCCTGTCTATGTATGGCAGACACACATTAATAAGAAACACCAGTTACAGTTCTTCGCTACCACTACCCTGCTTTTGCATTTGACTTTTCAGGAATTGACTGAAAACACTGCTGAGCTCCTCTCCCTGGGATCCAGTGGCAGGATGTGTGGGAATGGCTCAAAGCTGCACCAGAGGAGGTTCAGACTGGACTTTGGGAAGCATTTCTTCACTGACAGGGTGGTCAGACATTGAAATAGGCTTCCTTCTTACTGAGAGCTGGTCAAGGCCCCAGGCCTGTCAGTGTTCAAGAGGCATTAGGACAATTAGCTTTCATTTTTGGTCAGCTATGAATTAGGTCAAGCAGTTGGACTAGATGGTCATAGTAGGTCCCTTCCAAGTCAAAAATATTATATTCTATTCATTAGTTGGCCCAATTTTTAGAACAGGCACCATATTGGACTGTCAGGTTTATTCTAGATGTTTAAAAGACAATTCTGAAGTCTTAAAAAAGGGTTTAGAGATTCTTCAAATTAAAGAATAGGAAGCTACAGACATTCAAACAGCATTTGCCAGCTGGCTTGAGCATTGAATAAATATAAATGGGTTTGTAACTCATTAACCCAGGACTGCCATCCTTCCCAGTTTGTCAAGATCCCATCATCCTTAATAAACAGGTTTACGTGATGCTGGAATCAAGCAAACATCTGTTTATCTAGTTTGCTCAGGGCAATATCTAACCAGAATTCAGAAGATTTACAAATTCCACATTCAATTTAGCCAGCATGCAACATGTAAATGCCCTGCTACTCTACTGCACGGATTTCAGTAACATAACTAGAAAGCTTTAAAAATATTTTTCTTGCTGCAAAACCTATTTGCAGTTTAAGAACTCAGCAGCACCTCAACATTTTAAAAGATTTTTTTTTAATAA